AACGTATCCCATCCACCCAGGGGAAGTCCCGTTCGCCTCCGGCCAACTCTCCCCTCGTTCTTCACAGAACTCCCCCAGAGGCCCAGAGGTATATTTAGACCGGCATCCACCAGGCTCACCCACACCCGGCAAACCGCAGATCACACACACACACACACACACGCACGCACACACACACACAGGCCGTCAAGAACACACATTCATTCTCACTCCTCTGCTGTCAACTACAATTAAGGTCATTTAACTGGTGCCTGTGACGGATTGTAAGGCACACGGGACGTGTCTGTACATGTCACGGCTTTGAGATCTGTCTGTTAACAAACTTTTCTCATCTTATTTATTTGGCTCTTAATGGAGGAGAGACATAAAGTACTGAGTACATTTTGCAAAGTTAAAAACTTCTTTCTTTAACTAAGTTATATAGTTCATATTTGCAGGTATCTCTGCATGTCAAGTGCTATGTAAAATGTTGCATATTCAGATGGCTACCCCATGATGATGATAATAATAATAATTATTATTATTCTCCCTCTCTAGATGCCGGTGTGTTCCTACTTCCTGAAGGGAACCTGTAACAACAGCGACTGTCCCTACAGTCACGTCTACGTGTCCCGCAAGGCTGAAGTATGTCAGGACTTTGTCAAAGGCTACTGTCCCGAAGGAGAGAAGGTAACGCACACAAATAAAATTCAATGTGAGACGGGCTCATTACAGCCATACTGTATGAGCACTATTTCATCCAGCCACAGAAAAAAACATTGATAACTGTCACGACGAAAAACTGAAGGCAAAACAACAAAAGCAGAACAGAGAGCAATAGAAAGACCGTTAAACACTGGAAGGATGGGATTCATTTGGAGGGCTGAGCTGGATCACAGGAGACCACCGGTTGTCTACAGTTTCTCTGCTAAAACACAGAAACACTGAAAGCTTTCACTTCTCTATCTCTCGCTCTGTCTGTCTCTCTCAAGGAGACATTTAAATGACACGTACACATAATTATCTTCAAATGAAGTCTGGCCCAAGCACAGACACCTGTTCCACTGCCCCGACTCCGTGACCCCTGTCTGACCAGGGGTCACGGACTCTGGGCACAGGCTGATGCGCTTCATTCAGATAAATGTTCGACACCAGCACCGCTGCGTCGGTCCGTCTGGCCGGAACATGAGTGACGTCTGGGCTCTCGTTACGGCGCTCAGCGGTTTGACCTCGTTACATCTGAGCGCAGCCTCGGGGTCTTTGTCTGAGCTTTGTTGTTCATTTGAACGCATGATTACAGTGTACATGTAGCTCTACTGAAGTTAAACTGGAGCTTAGGTAAACAAGCCGTTTGGTAACCCATCTTCCCGCACACACACACACACACATACGCTCATAGTGACACAGGCAGCAACAGCTGCAGAGGGTAGTGGTCCATAATGGCATAACTGTAGTGTCTTAGTGACACATTGCAACCCCCCCGCCATCCCATCCCAACCCACCCACCACAGACAGGCCCTCACCCCCTTCCTCCTCCTGGTTACCTCTCTTTGTCCCCCCCCTCCTCTTCCTCCCCTCTCCTCCTTTCACTGCTTGTTTTCCAGCATCGAGTGTGAAACAGATGCTTTTTCACACTGTCAGACCTCATTTAAATAGTGCATGGGGAAAATGAGGATATAGAAAACAAAAGGGATATTAATATTTATTCTATTAGCTGAAGTGCTTAGGTCTGTGATTTTCTCTCCACGCGCGTGTGTGTGTGTGTGTGTTTGTGTGTGTGTTTATGGAGCGCTCTGCTGTGAGGCTCTGGTGGCCCTATGATGGATAGCAGGCAGTAATTATAGATGGGAAAACTGCTGAGGATGGCACTATGAGCCAGGCAGGCAGACACTGCAGCAGCTCAGGGGTTAAGTCTGCTCCTCGCCTCCGTCCTCCTCCCGCCTCATCCTGGCTTTGTCTCGCACTCACCCTCCACCCCGCAGGATCCGTCCCTGCCTTCCTAATCGTCCCTCTCGTTTCTTCGCTCCCCAAAAATCCGTAGTTCAGCTTTAGTCACTCTTATTGCCTCTTATCAATGTCTGTTTAGCTGATTCAGCCTGTTGAAACCTTGTCGGTAGATGATAGAAAATATATAAAAATATTCTCAGTTTGTATTCCAGTCCAGAGCGTTAAAACGCGCAGCCTTTTGTCTTATGAGAAGTCATTCCACCATGAAAAATATAGTGTAATAGTTACATAGATACAAAACATAGTGTGTTACCTCCATCCTTGGTCGTGAGTTTAAGTTCAGCGCTACTTCTCCCTTAATCTAACTTAACAGAAGCACTCACACCCCACCAGCAGCGTGTTGACATTTTCCACAGTAGCATCGACAGGAGCCGCCATCCCATCACATCTGTGTCCTGGATGGACGGGTCCACGAGACGGGACCTGCACCACCTTAACGTCTTCATCCAACACCACTGGAATACACCGCGTAAACAGATCGTTGTTCATGTTAAATATTCTACCTGGAATGGGCCTCATGCTTCATTGGCCTTCATAGTGCATTTTCTCATAACGTTGCATCGCTGCAGAAGTTCCCAGAAAATGTTGCATCTTTCAGGAGCAATCAGCGGTTCATCCCCGTCACGGGGTTCTCTTTGGAGTGAACGAGGGGACAACGTATTTTTCTTTTGTCCTCAATGAAGTGCTCGGCCTAAACACGACTTGAGATGAAGTGACGGTGTGAACTCTCCTTTCTTCTTAACATGGCCCTCTCCACGTTAGCCCTCTGAGCTCATTCATTGTTCTTTTCTACTCTCTGTAAGTAGCTGGAGGCGAGAGTGTCGGCTTAATGCCCAAGTGGTAAATGCATATGATGGCCCTTTTTTATACTTTACCGTCTTTTTATACTCTTCCCCCTCTCTCTTCCTTGCTTCTTTTGCTTATTCTCTCAGTGTCTTGGTAAATGTGCTGACTCCTCCTGGTTTTGGCCCAGCAGAGATCTCTAATAGGCCCCAGAGACGTCCCAGCATTCCTTAAATCAAGTGGAAAAATGTTAACTTGGTGTGGGATGAAGATGTTCTGTCCACTTTAGCTTTTTCCTTCTGTTTCCGACACTCTGTACCTCCCTCCCTCCCTCCCTCTCCCTGTCTCTGCTTCTGTCTTTGTATGAAAATGAGGACGTATAGACCTGTAGGGAGTGGCCGGAGCTTTTACAGTACATTTCTCATACGCTCTCTGTTTTTCACCCTACGAGTGCTTCAGCCTCTTTAACTGCCGTCACATTCGGAAGGAGACGCCACATTGTCACAATGTTCTGATTTGTCTCGGCCACGTTGCACTGGGTTCACAGGTAGTCAAGACTGAGGAAATGGGAAAGAATACATATGATGAACACTGCGATCCAGTGGTTGACGATAAGCGTTTAGGTTTGCTAAGTTACATGTAAATGTGTAATTGTTTACGCCATGTTGGACTTTATGTTGGATTAAGATGAATAACGAGATCCCATCTAGTACTATAGATCTAGTTTAAAAGTTTAAAATTCACTCATTCCCAATATTAATATACAACACAACAACGTATTTCTCAGCCCAGTGTGGAGCTGCCGGGCTCAGCGATGATGTCAGGCCCCAAACATGAAACCATGAGCGTTACCGACACCGACAGCGCATCTGATTTGTTGCCCGGCGCGTTGGTGACCCGCAGCCCTATGAGGTGATCCACAACACGGGTATGAGGTCGATGCGAGGGGCTCTGCTGGTGGCGGGTCGGTGCCGCTGGGCTCCGGAGAGAGTGGACTACCGGTCCAAAGTGTTCTTGGCAAATCGATCGCAAGATCCCTCTGCTCACACACACACACACACACACACACACACACACGCACACACACAAAACTATATTTCTGGACCAATCTGCTACCCAGTCCCTCCGCACACACAGGCTCACACACACTCCTCGCAGCCTGCACCCCTGAGTGAATATAATTAGCTTTTCTGACAGGTGGGAGGGATCGGATCTCGTAGAGAATGAAGCTACCAATTTACACCCGTATTACACTGTCATACACACTCACTTGCAAACATGCATGTGAAAGCTGTCTCTCTGTCACGCACAATGCTGCGTGGAACGAAGCTGTGACGCACAGCGCTCAAAGGGGGGGCGGGAATTGTGCCTTTCAAAAGTAGTAAGTTACATCTGTGTGCGAAAGGAATAAAGGAAAAAAACAACAATGATATAATCCGCCTCTGAAATGCTGTCACAAAGTCCGTGAATCTAACGTGTGATGTGTGGTGAGATCACCTGAGTGCTACTCTGGACAGAAGCCACAAAAACACACATCTCATGTAGATATAAACATGTCTACATCTGAAAAGGTGGTAGACTCTGTCCTTGTTGTCATGCAGCCTAAGCAGAATTAGTTTATATGCCGATAAGCCGCGGTTGGGTTGGATCGACCGGGTCCTCGCATGTAAAACGTATGTTCCTCTGTTTCCCTCGTCTCCGCCAGTGTAAGAAGAAACACACTCTGGTGTGTCAAGACTTCTCCAAGACGGGCTCCTGCCCGAGAGCGGCCCGCTGCAAGCTGCAGCACCGCCAGCAAGCCAAACGAAGCGCCAGCAGCGCCTCCACCACCCTGGCCAAGAGGGCCCGGGGCAAGGAGCCCGCTAAGAGGTCGGGGGAGCAGAGCGCACACGGCTCACTCGGACAAGCATCCTCATCTTCATCGTTTCACATGTTAAGTAGCCTCTTGCCTGCGGTTTACTGTCAATCCCTCCTCCCTTCAAGGCCCCGCCTCTCTGTCGCCATGCCGACGGGCTCTCAGGTAGCTCCGGGGACTCCGCCCAAAGGGCCTCTGGCTCTGCCATCCTTCATCTCCCTCTCCAGCTCGCCGGAGGAGGCAGACGCACCCGAACCACTGCCGGCTGAGAACTCACAGGTTAAAGGTAACCGAAAAGTATGACACAACCATGTGATCACACGCGTTTTAATTTTTTTTGATTTTGCAGACTTCCTAGTCCAACAGTTACCAACCGTCCATACCAAGGCTTTGCACATATTTATTTTCTGTGTGTTGGGGATTATTACCGACATATTAGGAAAGTCTTCATTCTACTTTTACTTCCAAATAAGCACATTATCTAATCTGCTAAGTGTGGGGTTTGTTTACACCTTGTTCAATAAGCTGGCAGGTGCCAATTCTGCCCATGTGGGACTTCAAAACTCCAGATTTGGCAAGTAAAATGTTTTAATCGATGGGAATTAAGGGGATTTATTGGACAAAATACAACTAGGTTGTCAAGAAAATGTAAGGTTCCTTAAGAGGACTTACTGCTTTTTACCGAGCATGAAAAGTGCTGACTGCCGGACACATTGTCCGGCGATGTTTTGTGGGAGGATGATGTTTGTCGTGAAAGCCACAGGATCAATCCTGAGTTCACGAGAATGGGGAGAGGTGATTCGTTTAAGCTGCAAACAGATAGTGATGATCAGAGCCGGGCCCTGAGTGTGTGGATGCTCGGGAGAGGAGTTCTAATGCTCAGAGAACAGCGGTAATAATATTTAGCTTTTGGGCTGGACGGAGGCACAGCTGAGCTCTCCGTTGACAGACGTGACTGATAGAGGATTAGGAGAGAGGCTACCTTCCCCCTCCAACCTCCTCCTCCCACCAGCTATCCACCTGCCCCTTCCTGCTGCATGCACACACACACATGCATACTGGCCCTGCAGAGCAACAATTAATTCCTTTCAATTCAGTTTAACCTGTTTTATTCCGATTTCTCCCTCTTTGAAGTCACTTTTAAATTTGATTGTCTGTTTCCACTGATACTGCCCTGACGTATCGGGTTTTAGTCCTTTTTAAGAGTTCCTTAACATGTCCTTGAATAAATGAGGTTTCTGTCCCGAGGGAGGAGTCACATTTGCATCTTCTTTGGTGCAGAAGCTGGACATAATTCATCAAACGCATTTTAACTGCAGTTAGTTATTAAGATGAAGGTGCTTTTCATTTCTTTTCTCCCTTTCAGCTGTTTCCGTCACAGAGTTTAGAAGTTAAATCATTTTGTCAAGTAAAACCATACATTACTGACTTAACATTGCCAGGAGTTCACAAAGCAAATCGGTTTCCAAAAATAAATTCAAAATGTAATATTTTCAAAATGCAAATCTATTTTAGGGATGTTTATGGTCACTCTCACTTCTTTGCTTTTAAGTAATGCTTCTTCCCTTTCATGGTTTATCTTTAGCATCTTCTTCTTGGAAACAAGCAGGACCTCTGACCTGACCCAAGACGTCTTGACCTCTGACCTTTTCCACTCACATGCACAGACCACACAGCCCGAAGTTCTAATAATATTGTTGCTGTAGATTTTTTTTTCCCACGTGCCGTGAGTTTTATTAGACGTGGTCACTTCATCGGTTGGTTTGTGCTCTTAAAGTACCACTAATTACACTGTGGGCGCCCAGAGCCTCATTAAAGGCCAAAGCAGCTCCTCAACACTTTGCATAAATTAGCACCGACGCAATGTGTCACTGCCAGACAGCAACCCCACACACACACACACGCACTTCATTTACAGACACCTCCATCCATCCCCGTTGTCCTGTTTCTCTTCCTCATTTACTCATCAGCTGCGATGTCATCACTCAGCGTTTAAACAGGATTCAGCACACAGAGGATCAGTTACACATGAGTGAGCACTCAGACACACACATTTCATTCCTGTCAATACTCTTTTTCATTTTCACTTCCTTTTGATCCCCCCCGCAGAGAAAAGGCTGCAGATCAAGCCTCGGCTGTGAGACCACAGAGAGCAGCAGCGGAGGTGAAAAGCTGCCATGGATGAATTCTGTGCTCCAGGTTTGTCCTGACAGGGTCTCTCTGTGTCTCTTTCTCTCAATTACCTTCACTCAGGGCACCAAAGATTTATTTTCTTTTATCTATACTCTACACAAATGTTTTACAAATCAATCTGAAGTGTTAAAAGTAAAACACATTCTCATCAGGTTGTGTACATTTTAAGAAAGACAAATAAAGGATTTAACTTTTAACCGTGTGTCGTTTGACAGGCTCTTCTTGACTTGTGTTTTTACTGTGGCTTCCCCCCGTCTGTCCTTTGGGAGGTGGTGACAGAAGCAGCAGTGCCCCTCACTTACAGACACATGAGCGGTCGGTGACTTCATCCCCAACGTGCCGCGAGCGTGCGTGTGTGATTTGAGGGGCCTCGTGCACACACACAGAAACGAGTCTTTTTTTCTTTGCTTTATTTCAACACTACCGAAGCAAATTGTCGATCCTGTGCTTCCACTCATATTGAATCCCAACACTACAAACTGAGGTTCATTTAAGTGGGCTGCTTCCAACCGCATTTTAACCATACCAATGTCACCCGATATGATCTGTAGCAGAGAGGGACATTCTGCATGGACGGCCAAAAGACCAAACCTCCCTTCCTGCAGCATAAAGCAGCACATTTAGTGGCCGCTCGCTCCCCCAAGGGCCTTTCTGCTGTCTAATTGGTGCCCAACCAGCCGGTTTGTTTTGAGTTATCATGTTTCTAAGTGATGATTGACAATATTTCAGTCTTCCTTTAATTATACGTCACACAGAACTGATGAAAACAAAATAGGGGAAGTTATTCATACATGATCGAGATTTTTATAAGAAATTATTATTATATTGAAAAGACTGACCAAACTCCAGTTGGGATCGAAATCATTGAACAGTGCATGCAATGTTCACCCCCCACTCACTCCCACTGTGGCTCAACACATGGCTTCATAAAACTATAGTCTAATCTGATTGGTCAAGTTGTTCCTATTTCTGACTGAGTTGAATCCTGTGTTTTTTTCTCAGTTATTGTTGTCCGCTTCAGCTTAATGTAACTATAAAAAAAGAGTTAAAGGTCTCAATTTCTGTGATTTAGCTGTTGTCAATCCAGTGATGTCCGAACTACTACAACAGAACGACGGACGCGGTTTCTTGGCCTACATACTTTTTGTGTTTGCGGATCGAACTTTTGCCTTGTTTGGAGTTTCGCTAATTTGCTCTGATCCTGTAGTTAGAAAACAAACCAGCAGCCTGATCCTCCACCTCGATCCGTCCTCTGCCTTTAGTTACTTCTCCCGCTTTGTATGTGACATAATTCACTGTGCAGTGTAACAGAGAGGATGCTGGGAGAAGTAATCCATCCACCGCTCTTAGGCCTCTGCTAATAAAACTATTAATATGCCGTTTGTGTGTGCGTAAGTGAGAGTGGGGACCCTCCTATTCGCAGCATTACCGCGCTATTTGACTGAGGCGGTTGTCACGGCGACGAACAAGCAGCGTGACACAAGAGCGAAGCGACGCGGCATAAATACACAGCGAGGAGGACTCGACACTCGTCTGTTAATCCACGCTGATGATGCATAGAAATGTGATAACACGCTTTACATGTCACTCTGGGGCGCAGCCCTGTTAAAGGGTTCATATTAGACATGCTAAGACACACTGAAATAAAAGTTGCTCCTCTTCCTTCTCTCTCGGTCACCTAAACGATACCTTTCCGAGGAAAGTCATGGGTTAGAAATGCAATGTGAGTTGCTTTGGAGAAAAGCGTCAGCTAAATGACCTGTAATGTAAAGTTTGTTACTACTCGGGTGAAATTGTCACGGCCACTTTTTCGCCTTACAAAATAGAAATTCACAGCCTTTAATGTGAAAGACAGATTTTGAATAAAAATTGCATGTGTATGCATTTGTTAAATGTTTTAGCATTATTGTGGACCAGGCCTCAAAGCCCACCAGAGGGATCATTTGTTTGATGAATGATAAAACTTCAGTTCATGCACAGATGGTCCCACACTGCCATTTAGTCACGGTGAATATTAATATTCTAATAAATTGTGAGTGTGTTGGCGCGTGTGCGTGCATGAGTGTTCAACCCTATTTTCTCCCGTGTATTGACGGCAGCGAGCTCGCCGCGTTTCTCAGGACAGGCAGGAGACGGAGCCATCACTCTTCTCTTCTCACCGCACGCTTTTCTCCCCCCCCTCCTCACCACGTTGCTCCTCTACGGCACGGAAGACGTAAGTGCCTGAGACAGATGTCTGCTGCCTCTTGTCTAAACCCCTCAACGCGAGATGCTGAGCTCGGCAAACTCTAATTAAGATCAATATTTCAATTTTTAGTAAAAGCGCACGAGACGGAGAGAAGACTGAGGGAGAGAAATCATCCCTCCACGTGGGCTCGGAGAGCCGAAAAGAAAGGTCAACTGATTGTTCATTGTGTGTGTGTGTGTGTGTGTGTGTGTGTGTGTGTGTGTGTGCGTTAGAGAGCGTTAATAACGTGTGTGTTGCACAAGTTAAAAATGTCCTTTTCACGAGGCTTGCCCCTTTGAGCTTTGCTTCCTTTGAAGTATAAATCCACGTTACTGCAACATTCTGCACATCAGCGCACTCTCAGCGCATCGGCCATGGTTATTATTGGTTGTGATAACATTGCACTCGGATGGGCGGATCTAGGCGGGTTCAGGTGCTCACAGCGGACGCACCTTGTGATTGGTGGGATGATAAGTTGAGCGGGAAAGCGGTCAGCACAGCGTGGGGAGATGAAGTCGTTCAGTGGAAGGTTTCTATCGCTCGCATTTTGTTCTCTTCGCCTCCAGCACCTTGCGTGTGTAAAATGAGCATCTGAAGCATGTTCAATATGTTCCAATTGATACACTTGACATGTGTGAACCCTTGTGTGTCTTTTTACACAAAAGTTTCAGCAACCAGTCCCCTACGAGAGGCCCGCTGTGTTGTATCCGTTGCTTGTTCAGTGTGCGCGTGTAACCTTTCAGACAGTCAAAACTAATCAATCTGTTTTTCGATAGCGGAGACCAGAGCGTGTTTGCATTTCAGGTCTTTGTACGCTCTTGTGTGGTCTTTGGCCCTTTTTGGTGTCCCTCTGTTTCCAGATCTCTGGTGAGTATAGAGGCGTGTCCAAAACTCTCTGTTGTCAAATGTTCTGCTTGCTCTGAGACCGAAAACCTTTCATCCCCCGGGGGAACAAACACCGTTTCAAAGCGAGCGAGGCCTCCTGCGTGTGGTGGAGCTCCTGATTTCTAAACTAGTGTGTCCGTTGCATGTGTGCGTGGCACATCCCTGCACAATTAAAGCTGATTCCATGGCATTAGTGACTTAACGCCAGTGTCGAAAAAAAGAAAAACCCTCCGGGCCTGAGATAACCCAGAGCCACCTCCTGCAGCCGGTCCCTTTGGTTCTGGAGGCTGGCCGCCTCGGCTCAGAGCTCTCAGAGCCCACCGCCGATCCTCCACCTTGCTGATGTCCGTTTTGCTTAAATCGGTAGAACTGCACTTGCAGCGAAGTACCGATATGCAAAAGGCACAATGAAAACCCTGACTTCAAAAATTGATGTCTCAAGCCCTCGGCCGCAGCCGCTCCCCTTCCCCTGACAATGAATGGACCACAGCAGATCTTCTTAAATGTGCCGTTTCAATGCAGAATGCTTACCATGGCGTTTGAGGGGGCCGCTCCTGCTTATTTGATAGATAAAAAAAAAAAACTCTCCTAATGACTTAGCGCACCTTAACCTAAAATACCTATGATTTTCATCCCTTCATCTCAAACTCTTCTTTTCATCCTCGCCAGCAGATTTGAGGAACGGCACGCGGGTGTGTTTGTGTGTGTGTGTGTGTGTGTGGGGGGGGGTGGGGGCCATTTCGGACTGGAAGTTAAACTCCGCAGCTGCGCAAGGTTTTCCTGTTCACATCTGACCAGGTTTAAACTTACGGCCACCTGTTTTTTCTGTCTTATTTCTTAATTCCGCAGATATATCACGCACGTATCGGTTGGCTGATGGAAGGGGCGGCGGGGTGCTGATGCTGAGGAGGCTAAACGGGTCAGGTGCACCAGTGTCATGCTCCCCCGATACCATCAAACCCCCCCCCATCCCATCCCATCTCTCCCTCTCTAAGATAAAAGACGTATATGTGTCCAGAATGGAGACGCGCGCGGCGGGGCTTAATTATCCGTCGATCCGCGGAGATGAGACGGGATGCAATTTGTGGTTAATTGCGAATGAAAGCCCCCGCAGACCAGCGCCAGGACTATCCAATCATACTTAACCCACGCGCAGCCACGGCGCGGCCTCCTCGCTGCCTCGCGGAAATGCGGATTGATTTTTGGCACGAGGACGCGCGGCCTTAAATCGACCAGTATTGATAGATTTGGCCGTTTGTGGTGTCAGAGGCATTCCTTTTTACAGACATCAATGGGTAAAGTAGATACAATAAGCTGTTTTTAATAAAGCTACTAAGGCAGAATGTGTTTTACACTGTTGCTCTATTTGATCGTTTTACTTTTCTTTTTATGGCTATATCCGTACACGTTCAAACTCAGTCATATTTCCGTTGCAATTGTATCCCTTCATATTCATGGTATTCTGTTTTTCCTACCAGATTTGTATGCCATTTATGTTTGGCATTACACATGAATGGATCATTTTTTCCAGAAGCTACATATGTTTCGATCGGCTGGTCTCATGAGATGTAAATCACCGGCATTGTTTCCTTACAGAAATTAAAAACTCTAAAAATTGCCTAATACTTAATTCAATAAAACAATCAGTAGGGTTTCATGTTGCGTAAAGATCGTCCGTGAGAGTCCAAGAGTCCAAAATATATTCCCATTTTCAATTGATTAACAAATACCACGAGTTAACGATAATGCTCGTGAAACCCAAACACGTGCTCGACAACCTTGTTACATAACCGAAAAAAGTGTTCCTCGGTTCCCAGTTTAGTTTTTCCTTCTGAGAATCTTCCCGCAGCTCTCGTCTTGAACCCCCCGCTTCGTCCGTGCAGTAGCACCTGCTCGGTCGCTAGAGGGGGGGGTCCTGCTGCACCTGTCCTCCCGTGCGCGCTCCCCTTGCTCTCCTCGGCTGTCTTCGGCTCTGCTCGGCCTCGCTCGTGCCGGCCCTCTTGCCAGAGGTACAGGCTTCCCAGCCCGGGCTGGGCTTTCCTACGGAGAGAACGCAAACGCGACGCGGTGGTCTCCTCCCATTGGCCCGTCCCACCTCTGAGTGGGAGGGTCGCGTGCCACGCTGTCTTTATAAAGAGCAGAATGCCTCGCAGCGCCTCAGTGACACCACTGCTTTCTCCGTGGAGCGCCAATACGAACTATTTTGAGTTAGTGATTCCGTTAGTGAGGGAACCAACTGGAATGTATCACCTCTTGCGTAATATCAAACACAGCCATCACGTAAAGGTCAGCAGCGCGCGCCCCTTTTTGAGGAGGGACCGGACCGGTTGGGACGGAAGCTGTCAGCAATCCGCTGCTTGAATCAAATATCTGGACCGACCACAACAACATTGGACCAGATTCTCCTTCCCGCACGAGTGTGGCCTCTACCTGCAGCTCCTGCTCCATGTCAGATGCATATTGTCTTTGAAAACGTTTGCACGTGCCATTCCATTTTTTTGGTGGGATTCCTGGGACTTTTAAATTTTTTTTGGCAAGCCTGCGGAGCGCGCATACGCACGCACGCACCCACACACGCTGTGTGATCTGACCGTGTGACTAACTTTCGAACCGGGCCATGCTGCAGTGACTTCAGGCCGTTGCCCGGAACTTGGCGAACAAGTTGTAGACGGCGGGAGGAGGAGGAGGGGCCGGGGGGCGGCGGGGGGACGAGAAGGATGCTCGGGACGTATTTATAACGCAGCCAGCGGAGGAGACGAAGCCGCCTTCTGTTACTCGATCGAGCCCAGCACGAGGACACTTAATCACAAGGAGGCAACGTGTGCTGCCGAGGTGAAGCTGGGACAAGACAGGTTGGTGTCTCCGAATCCACCCGGCTCGAGTTTCGGCCGCCCCGGGGGCTCCTGGTATTTAAGCGTGCATTTGACCCGGGATAAGTTGTCAACAAGAGCAGCGCGCAGAGGCGAACTGGCAGGTGTTCAAGTTCATTTACATGCATACGTATATTCACGCCACTATATATAGAAGTTGTCTTAGGGACGGGCAGCCGTAATAAGTTTCTCCTCCCACCACCCGCCGGGTGTGTGCGCTCCCGGGCGTGTGCGCGTGTCTATATATACACGCACCGTCCAGGCTGTTATTCCTGCTCGCGGTCTGTACCCGAGAGGGCTGCCCGCCGTCGGTTTGGCTGTGAGGGCAGGAGTCGTCGCATGGACTGACATGGCTACCGACCTCGCCATGAGCGCGGAGCTGCCCAACAGCCCCCTGGCCATCGAGTACGTCAACGACTTTGACCTCATGAAGTTCGAGGTCAAGAAGGAGCCGCCGGAAGCCGACCGCTACTGCCACCGCCTCCCGTCGGGCTCCCTGTCCTCCACGCCGATCAGCACGCCGTGCTCCTCCGTGCCTTCCTCGCCGAGCTTCTGCGCCCCGAGCCCCGGCGCGCAGCCCAACCAGAGCCTCACCAGCGGGGTCAACAGCAGCGGCAGCAGCAGCAACAACAGCAGCGGCGGCGGCGGCGGCGGCGGCAACGGCCACGGCAACGCGGGCAAGCCCCAGCTGGAGGACCTGTACTGGATCCCCAGCTACCAGCACCACATCAACCCCGAGGCGCTGAACCTGACCCCGGAGGACGCGGTGGAGGCCCTCATCGGCAACACGCACCACCACCACCACCACCAGCCCTACGACGGCTTCCGCGGGCAGCAGTACGCCGGAGAGGACCTGTCCACGGCCTCGGCGACGCACCATCACCAGGGCCACCACCACCACCACCACCACCACCACGGCCACCACGCCCGCCTGGAGGACCGCTTCTCGGACGAGCAGCTGGTCAGCATGACGGTGCGGGAGCTCAACCGGCAGCTGCGGGGCTTCAGCAAGGAGGAGGTGATCCGCCTGAAGCAGAAGAGGCGCACCCTGAAGAACCGGGGCTACGCGCAGTCCTGCCGCTTCAAGCGCGTCCAGCAGAGGCACATGCTGGAGACGGAGAAGTGCACGCTGCAGAGCCAGGTGGAGCAGCTGAAGCAGGACGTGGTGCGCCTCGCCAAGGAGAGGGATCTTTACAAGGAGAAGTACGAGAAGCTGGCCAGCCGGAGCTACTCTGGCGGCGGCCCCGCGAACACGAGGGATCCGTCCGGGAAACAGGCCAACAACGAGTTCTTCATGTGAGAGAGACTCTGAGATACGGCCCCCGCCTCAGCGCCATGGTTACATGCGTTTATATTTCTCATGCGTCTGTATGTTGTTTACAGTTATTCCCTTGAAAGAGACTTAAATCACACACAAGTAAACAAACACGCATTAGACGCGCACCGAAAGTAGCCCGTGGGCGCATTTTGAGTCTTAACGATGTTTTGTCTGAACTCACTACAAGTTGTCAAGTGGGCACATGGGATCACAGAGCCTGTAGACTTAGTCCCGTTGAACCAAACGGACATTTCATTGCCGTCCCAATCGAGAGAGGGAGAGAGATGATTTTGTCTTAAAAGTGGCTGAAAGAGTGACGTTTTTCTTTTTTTAAAGAACGGGATCGAACTGAAATAAGACGCAGGAAAAAAGCAATACGCCGCCTCTCCTGTCGGCTCCGGAAAGCTCCACGGACTGTTTGCGTGATGAGGGCGAGGCGGTCTGCGGTGCGAGACGAGAGAAGACCGCCTTTCTAATATTGCAAGTCTATAGTTTGCCATCCCCATTTGCAACCCTGCATGCAGGACATGTATGGTGACCTCCAGCCTCTTCCCGGAATCCTTCCACGCGTGTGGAAAGCATGGCCCACGGCTCTCTCCTCCATCCGCCTCCTCCTCCTCATCCATCAATAAGGCCTGGGTGTATGCAAGAACAACAAACAGCCCCCCCACCCCCTATTCCCACCCTCTCCCCCCAGAAGTGCAAGGACTGCGGACAAACATAATGGGAAAATACCCAATCTGCTATTGAGAAATAATGGATGCGTCTTTAAACTGCTATTTTCAATCAAATTTTCTATTGTTTTAAAAAGAAAAGAAAAGAAAAACGACAAAAAAAGATGACCTGAGCCAGATTTTAGACTGTATTTATTTCCACCTGTACATAATGTGTAGAGAAAAACAGTTGACTGTGTCATTTTACCTTTTTCTCTTTTTAAAGAAAACTTGCTTTGAAGTTGCTTGGATTATTCGACATGTCTTAATACAAATGTTTGTATGTTACAGCATGCGATTCGTCTATGGTATCCTCCTCCTAACATGTGTAATGTCAAAGGCAAGCCTACTGCACTAAGAAGAGATCAAACCGGGCAAACGTTTTGTTTTCTACTGATAGGACCTTTGATCTGATGTTACTCTCTAAAAACCTGGATGAAAATTAATTTATTAGACGGACACGGAATGCATTCGCTGCTAAAACTCTATGCACCAACCCGATGATTAAAATATTTAAAAACAAATATTTGTAGACGGGATTCTTTTGGGAGGGGCCCGTGGTTTCATTCTGCAGCCCGCTGTCTTAAAACGGTGCTGTGTCCGGTGAGAGACGTCGCCGGGTGATAGAGCTTTCTGTGCTTGGAGTAACTCCATGATTTATTCTGTCATCAAGGTTCCTGTGTTTTCTGCTGCCTAGATATGTTTGCAATATTGTGCAGAGTCCGACGCGCAGACTGCAGAAGACCTGTTGGAATGACGGAGACTTGCAGGAAATGAGAAGCCGGTGTTTTACATTCAGATCGAAATGCCACAAAGAAAAACAACTATAGAAAATGCAAAATAGACGGTGTTTTGCATTGGTGGGAGCCTTAAGAACAAAAACGATCAAAATGAATCCCGCAACACTGATTCATGTTTTAAAAATAATAAGTCGTGGGTTCCATTCAGTAACTGTCTGTTTTAATTTATTTGTGATTCATTTAATTTTCCATTTTCGTTTTTTTTCTATAAACAAATTGCCGCCTAAAAATCCCAATTTGATTTGAAAGAAAACTGCGAGACATAAAACGGAGATGCAAAGGAGCGCAAACTTCTGCACAGTGCTGTTAATGTATATCTGTACATATGATTTCTATATTTATTCAATGAACGTGTCCTAACGTGTCGACAAGTGAAAAACCTACAAAGTGGAACGTTGTTCTTGTTTTCATAATGTTTAATAAAAAGTTCTGTCCCAAATCTGTCAGACTGCTGCTGCCATCATTGTTACAGGAACTTTTTATTTTGAAATAAACAAACGAAAAGGCTTCCTGCCTCTAAATTATTTAAGCTCTGTCTTTACGTAACAGTGTCATACATTTATTTCTAATTTTAGGCCAGAGGAGGTTTCGCGGGAGCGTAATGGGTGTGATTTAAAAACCTAAAGCCCAACAGTTTGTTAAATAGCCTTTTTATTTCTAATAATAGGTATTGTTATAAATAGTTATGTTCATACTTGTGAAGATAAAATCCAAAATAAGTCAGACTCTTACTTGTGTAAGAGATAGATATATCCTAAATATATATTTGAAATATTTTATATGTATTTTTGGAAACATTATTTATTACGGTAACACTAATTATGGATCTAATAATAAACATGACAAATTAATTCGTTAGTTGATAGCCGTAAAGTATATCATAAGCTATCAGGATGTGTTTAAGAATGCGCCCCAAAACAATAATGTAATGAAGATGTGAGGGAGTTATTATTATAAATATGATCATGATGGTTGGACTTATTGTTATTTTTGTTATTCTTATTTTCGTCCTCACTTTCCCCTTAATTTGTGTTTTTCCTCATTTATTTTCGTCTCTTTCCTCCTGCAAATTTGCAATATTTCCCGGCTGTAAATTGCGCGTGTGTACGGGCAGCTCTTCGGCACCGCTTCCCCGGCTCTGGCCGCCTGTCAACGGGCCTCGGCGCGCGCCATCAGCCGGTGATGGATGGATGCAGCTCTCTGCCTCCTCCAGCCACCACCGAACAACAAGGTAGGCGAGCTATACCCCCACCCCCCTCCCCTCTCTCCCCTTATGTCCACAGGGCCGCTTTGCACGACACCCTCGGTGTCCACTTTGTGTGCACGCGCCCTTAACTGCAGTAAGTGGTCTGTCCGTCTCGTCTCCGGGCGGAGAGATGAATGCGCGGCGGTGCTGATGTGACACCCGCCGTCAGGCCCGCCGGTCGGTGATAACTCACATTTGATAACTCACCAAGAATGTGTGTGTGGCGCTGAATGTATATATATGTGTGTGTGTGTGTGTGTGTGTGTTTGCGCGCGCACGAGGCAGTGCGTATGTTGTGGAACCACGAACGCAAAGGCCATTGTTGAATTTCAATAAAAGCCACTAAATTATTTTAAGCCCGTGTGTATGTTCGTGTTGAACGTTTATAATTTTGATATTTAAACATTTTTTTTATTTTTAGCAACAGCAAGGTTGTCACACAAATGTGTTAAACCAAGATCTAAAAAAGGACAAAAAAAGACAAGGAAAAGGGTCTTCTTTGTCAGGCTGTCAAATAAGCTTAATCACACTAAAACAGGCACATTTTCTAGCCCATTGAGTTTTTTAGAGTATTTGTATTTTAATGGCGGTGCTTTGAACAATCACAGGTGTGTGAGTGAAAGCGGCAAACAGTTTTTCCTTTTCCACCAAGATTATTTAAATGTTCCTCTTCACTTCCTTACATACACTATCAAACATGTTTGTCTCCAAAAAAATTAGTCACATCAGACATTAAGCCCTTCATCCCATGTGTTGCTTTGCATTCAGCTCTTTACATCTAGAGTACACAAGTCACACCGTACCATATTAACGCTGGGGCATTGAATGTCCTCATACCATTAAACTGCTCTTCTGCTAATAGTGTTTTTGTTCACCAACTCCAAAATTTGATTAAATTGGTGAGCATTTTTTTGTGGCAGAATATTTCCCACCAAATTTAAATTTTCTCCATCTATTTCTCCATCCTCTGCTCTCTTTACTCTCCCTCATTTCAGCCTCTCCGTCACTCTCCTCCTGGTCCTCTTTTTGCTGACTCAGAGGAAACGTGGAGCAGTGTGACAGCACATCACCTCACTGAGAGTCAGAGAGTGTGTGTGTGTGTGTGTGTGTCCACACACATACACACTGAGATGCAGAGGAATGAAGCAGCAGGCGTGTGCCTCATTTGTGTCAACATGTTTTTTATGTGTGTGTGTGTGTGTGTGTGTGAGACTGAGAGAGAGCGATCACTATGACCACACGTGGGCTTTTCTCTTCATAAATCTGGGCAGCGTCCATCCGAGCTTCATCTGATAAACAAAACGAGTGAGGCAGCGAGGAGGATGGAGAGAGAGAGAGAGAGAGAGAGAGAGAGAGAGGGAGAGAGAGAGAGAGAGAGAGAGAGAGAGAGAGAGGATAGCGTAGAGGTGCACTGTGTCTCTGGCGTCTGGAGCTGCTGAGAATCAACACAGTCAGCGTCTCTCCGGCTCAGCTTACCAGTGGACCTGTACCCACACACACGCACACACGCACACGCACACGCACACACACACACTTACACACACACACACACACGCACACACACACACACACACACACACACACACACACACACACACACACACACACACACTTATAAATGGAGTGTGCAGACAAACACTGGAAGCAGCTGGTGCTGATAGATTCACATCATTTTAATAAGACTGACAACAACCTCAGCCTCCCCCTACCTGTTGTTGTTGATTTTTACCCACTAACCCTCACAAAAGCACAGCTGTTATGTAAAAGTCAGGTCCATTACTGCTTCCTATGTCATGACTTTTTCTTCTACACGTAAACAGACAGCCTTTGTTTGTTTTCCCATGGTGCTTATTGTGTTTAATCAGACTCACTGAGAGAAATCATCATGATAAGATGATCATGTTGTGTAAAGCCACTTTATTATACTCTCCATCGGCCCCCGGTCCCGCTGGGTGCAGTGGGACAGAAGTTCTCCCAAGGAGCAACTAGGAGTCAGAAGTGTTCCCAAACTTTCTCAGATTGAGAAACCTTTGACTAAGATGAGGAATGATCACATTAACCTTTACTAAAATATAAGAGAACCACTAGAGAAACAGTTGTTAGGTTAATACCGGCAGTTGTTGATGCATTGGCACAGACAAAACCCGCCCCGTTTACTAAGAATTAGGACACGACACACCTTGAGCGCTGTCTCTGTTTTTAGCAGCAGAAAGTGGAAGTGATACATACTTTTATTTCAAAGAATTGGTGGCTGTATAAATTAGATTCTGCCTGATGCCACGCAGGTCTTTTCATTTAGCAGAAACCCACACGGCTTCACACAGAAAGGGTTCTGGAGCTCCAGTCGGGGCCGCTCCCCCGGGGACGTCTCCCGCTTCAAAAAGTTGTCACCCTGCGCAAAACGTAATCGACATTTTTGATGAATCACCTGTGTGCTGTTAACGCTCACGGGGTATTAATAATTATTACTCCTGATCTGGTGATTGAGTTAGTGACCCCGGGGCCAGGAGCCCCCACAGAGCAGGGGGAGGGAGAGGGAGAGGGAGGAGGGGGGTGGGGGGGTGGGGGGGGCAGTACCTGGCCCAATGCACCCAGCAAAGCAATCTGGCAGTGATGGTGTCGTACTGCTTCTGAGACCCCTGAACGCATGCCACTGCCTCTACCAGCTCCATACGGTCACACACACACACACACACACACACACACACACACACACACACACACACACACACATATACAAAGACACACACACATTCTCTGACACGCTGCATGCTGAGTAGACACATTCAAACATGCTATCACAGGAGAAAATATGCCCAAACAGCAAATCTAACCTTGTCCCGTGCTTTGAAAATACAATAAACAAACCTAACCGGCAAACAAATAAAAAAAATGAGGCCGGTGGGATGATGTGCTGATCTCCAACCAAGGGGGGACGAGGTGGGGGGGAGTCGCAAAGAAGTTCATTTTACCTGAAAGGAGTAAAAAACATGCCATTAAGGGGGTGTTAACTCCAGTTGCTTTCTTTTACACTGTTCAAGCAGAATAACGGTTAACAGGGTAATTTGTAGAACCACAAAAAACTAAATCTGTGTTTCTGTTTTTTTATACTTTATACTATTTTTTTAATAGTTTCAGCGTATTATTTGTTGCCAGGAACTCACTTTAAGCGAATTTCCTTCATGTTATTTTATTTCCTGTTAACTGTGGTCACAAGGCGATTTACTGAGTCAACCTTTTAACGCGGGATCAAGTTCCTGCTGAAGCCCTCAAACCGTGACTATCACTTCCATTCATGTTTCACTTCCTCATCTCTGCGTATGGGCCAGAGAGTCATTCAGCAGTTTCTATCAATCAGTCATTATTTGTCACATTTTTCTTCATCGCAAATAGTGGTTTTGGTAGTATTTTGGTTGTGGTCTGCAGATTGATGGCACACACACACACACACACACACACACACACACACACACACACACACACACACACAAACTGCTGTGATGGTGCACATATGTGGTTGAGCAGAGAAGTCTGTGCAGTAATGCAGTGGAGAGGACAGTCCTCTGTGGCATTGGAGGGTCAATCAGCAATCAATTATTCCACTCAGCCTGGCCAGAAGCCATACCTCAGACTCACTCCCTGCGCGCGCACACACACACACACACACACACACACACACACACACACACGATCACAATCATACTCAAGCTGCCTAACTCTCCAGTATGTATCCCTCAAAACTCTGATATCTTCATACATCTAGACAAATAAAACAATATGCGGTTTTGTAAAATGCTAAATTAGGATTGGCAGGTGAACAAAAAACATAGAATGCACCTGGGGTCGAACTTATTAAAGTTTAGTTTGATTATTTAACTGATTCATGATTTGCCATGATTTACCTTTTTAACAAATGTTACCGACATTGTTTGAATTCTCTTGTGTAACAAGTTCTATTTTTCTATCCTGAAGTATTACATTTTTCATTGTTTATTTTTTTTCCATCCCAGATCTAATCTCATGCGGGCATTTCAAAAGGTCTTCCTTGCTTGACGGTCTGTCCACATGTTGGTTGCTATAGAGAACTATCTGTGAAAGGCTTGGTAAGAAACTGTTTGGAAAAGGGCAAGTGATTGGATAAAGCACCCATGAAGGGAATTGAGAAAAGCCTTCAGTACCGTTATTTGCTCTTT